CCCCTCCCCGTTCCTCAGCTCTCTGCGTGTCTCCCGTCTCGGGCGTCCGTCTCGGCCCCTCTCGTTCCCTTTCTACCCCACTCTGGTCTCTGTTATCTCTGCCTCTCCCCATTTCTCTCTGTCTCCTCCCCCCCATCTCTCCTTCCCTCTCTTTTTGTCTCTCTTGGCTCCTATCTCTGCTCCTCTCTGTCTCTGTCTGTCTGTTTAGGTCTTTGTCTCTCTTCCTGCCCATCTCATTCTCGGTGCCTGTTGTCATTTTTAAATTGTCTTTACTGATTATTTTAATTATGTATTATTGATTTCAAAGAGAGGAANATCTCATTCTCGGTGCCTGTTGTCATTTTTAAATTATGTCTTTACTGATTATTTTAATTATGTATTATTGATTTCAAAGAGAGGAAGGGAGAAGGAGAGAGAGAAACATTGATGTGAGAGAGAAACATCAGTCAGTTGCCTCCCGGACGCGCCCAGATGGATCAAACCTGCCACCTAGGTGTGTGCGTAACTAGGCCATCCCGGAGACTGAATGAGTTACGCACCCCCTATGGGACAAGAGTCCAGCCAACTCGCTCGACCAGGGCTCTTCCTTCCTTGTTGCCTCTTGTTGACATGGTTCCATGTCCTTTATATATTTTGTAGATACCTATCTCCTTCCCTTGTGAGATTTTTCAAAGTCTCTCTGTGTCTCTCCTGGTCTCATTCATCCACCTTTTCTCACGCTGAGAATCATGCCCAGCTGTGCAAGTGCCAGGAACCCGGATATTCTCAGCCACCACCGGGGGAGGGCCCTCCCCCCTCCACCAGTCCCAGCCCCTGTGGGGCAGAACTTGTGACTCCCTCCCTCCCTCCTCTCCCTACACCTTTTTTCCTCCCTGCTCCATGCCCAACCCACCCAACCTGGGACACCCCCACTTCTCCAAACCCCAGCCATCGCCCAGGGTCTGTGCTCTGCCCCCGTCCTCCCCAACTCCCTGATTCTCCCCCCCCTTCCGCCCCCAGCACATACAGCCCTGGCCAGACTCCTCGCTTGGAACTTGGCCCTTAGGGACAGGGCTCTGATTCTAAAAGAGGCACAAGTTTGGCTCCTCTCGGCCTCATGAAATGAGTTCCCATGTTTATATGCTGCCTCCCCAGAGAGGCCAGGCGATGCCCGTTCAGATCCCGGGCTGTCTGAACAGAATCCTGTCTATGAGATGGGGACATCCCGGAGACTGAATGACTTATGCACCCCAAGCATGCAGCATTGTTGGTTCCTGACACATGGAAAACACTCAAAATGTGAAATTAGCATTACCATTATTGTTATTATTATCATTATTAGTGCTATTATCTTGGGCGCACTGAGGTCCGAGACTCAGTCCACCTGTGGAAACACCCACCAACATATGACAGTTCACCTTGAAAATATTCGTGTAGAGACTCAAATATCACTTTTCTCATTAAAGATAAAGCAGAAAAGATTAAAGAGTATTTATTAGGTGGTCCCAGAGGTATCTTAAAAATGAGTCTGGCAGGGAAAATATCTTTTAAGATCCAGTCGCCACATGCCCTTGTCGCTGTGTTAACTTATGGCTCAGGGACAAGGCAGGACTTAGAAACAGTCACACCACACAAAAGCCACCAGGCAGGCTTGTGAAAAGAAGCCGAATTTTTGGCACAAGCTGGAAAATGAACACCCGTCTTGAGTTCACTAAACTGGCCACTGAGTGTATTGCAGGGGACTCTCTCTTAATCAGAAGACACACTCAAACCCGAGACTGGCTTTCCTCCCCGAGGGAGACCCATCAGGGAGGTTCCAGCAGGCTCCCACCTTCCTTTAGGGCACCCACTGTGGCAGGGCGCGGGGACCTGCTGGCCTGAGGGGAAGGGTGGGACACCTCAGGTCTCTGTGGCAGAAGCACTCCCAGGAGGGGGGTATCAGAAATCTAGGGGTGCTTATGGGTTGCCACGATAACTGGGGAGGGGCANAGAAACACCCCCAGGAGGGGGGTATCAGAAATCTAGGGGTGCTTATGGGTTGCCACGATAACTGGGGAGGGGCATATGGTCCCAGCCTGGTGACATCTAGCCACTCATGGGGCAGGCCCCCACAATACAGAACTGTCCCATGTCCTGCCTGACTTCGGGACCTCCCACTGGATATTCACATGGGTGAAAACCCTGCTTATAAGAATTGGAGTCTAGAACTCAACTCTGTCTTTTGCAAACACGAGGCATTTTCCTGTCTGGTTTACCATATGCTGAGTATACTGGTTTTTAACCTCACGGCTATCTGCTCCTCTGCTTGAACCCTTGCATGGGATAGTCTCTGATCTTTTCCTTTCTTTTAAACCCAAACTTGTTCTTTATAAGTAGGTGCCAGCATCTGGCTCCCTCTTATGACTTTTTAAAAAATGTATATATTTTTATTGACTTTAGAGAGAGAGGAAGGGAGAGGGAGAGAGAGAGAAACATAGATGTGAGAGTGAAACATCGACCAGCTGCCTCCTGCACGCCCCCTACTGGAGACTGAGCCCACAACCCCGGGTACGTGCCCTGATCGGGAATTGAATCAGAGACTTGTTGGTGGCCAGGATGCCCAACCAACTGAGCTACACTGGCCAGGGCCCTCGTCATGACTGTTAAGGTAGTCATGTCGAAGCATTTACATGTGGAAATGCACACTGTTCTGAGAGATTACTTTCCTTAATGTCGCAGTTCAGGCATGATACGGACTTGGGGAAGCCAACAGCACAGGCAAGTTCAAGTTCCTTCATGAGAACAGCTCACATTCACTCTGCACCTGGCTGGCTGTTCTAAGCCTTCCACATGTAGCAATTCAGTGGATCCTCACGCAGCCTCTAAGGTGGGGAAAACTGAGGCACAGATCGGGTAAGGAACTTACCCAAGGTCACATAGCTAAGAAGCAGCAGAGGTGGGATTTGATCCCAGGCCCCTGGCTCTAGGGTCCATGCACCAAACTCTGAGGCTAGAAGACCTCTCTCCTATTATCTAAGAATTTCACATCAGCGGAGTAAAGGATATGTAACAAAATATTGGCTATAAAAAAGGAGCATTGGGTATGAAGGGTCAAAAAACAATGGTCTAGTGCAACCCCTTCCATGGTTCAAATGTGAAAACTGAGGCCCAGAGAGGGTACGGGCTTTGCCTGAGGCCACACAGCACTTCTGGAGAAAATCCAGAGCCAGACCACTCTTCTCACTGCCCCAGTTCACTGCACTCAGGAGGCACTGGGGACATCTTTATCTCATGCCAGTTCCTTCAGTTATTTGACAAAAATGTCCCATAATTCTGGTCTCCGTGTTCCCCCCAAAAGGATCCTCTGTGGCTACTTCTCCATCCAGAGCAGTGGCGTCTTATACCCTGTTCCCTACATCTGAGCCAGCTCCTTGGGGGAAACCTCTCCTCCACCCCCATCCCTACCCGCCTCTCATCCACGGTCTCTAAAATCCTTTTCACAGTTTTAGTGTAAATCCTCATCAAAGACCATTTTGGAAACCTTTTTAACAGCGCCTGAAAACTGTGACATTGCCCCGGCGGGGAGCTCCGCCGGTTAGAGCATGAGCCTGATGCGCCAAGGTTAAGGGTTTGATCCCGGCCAGGGCACATTCAAGCAGCAAACAATGCCTGCAAAAATAAGCGCAGCAACAATCAATGTCTCCCTCAAGCCTACCCCCTTTATCTCTCCCCCCCCTTCCTCTAAAATCAGTAAATAAAAATTTAAAAAATAAAAGAAAACTGTGACACATCGCCCTGTACTATTCACCACGGCAGCCAGGAAACTCGGGGCCACAGTCCCGGGTCAGTCGCAGTAACTGTTTCTCTCTCATCCCTGTCTTCAGGCCCTGCCGCCTCCCCCTCTCCTCTCAGTGCCTTCTCCTCCCTCAGTTCTGCTTTTATATCATCTGCAAATAATTTCTATGCCTCTACCTTCAGATCCTTCCTGGAAAGAAACTATAACAGGCAAAACCTGACAGATATGTGTGAACAGATGACACACACTTGTGCAGAGGAATCCTGGGTAGCCTCAAATAAATTATGCATGTGTGCAAATGAATTAGGCAGGCCCATGAATAAATTATGCAAATGTAGACACAGTCTCGGGATTGTGAGAAATAAATTAGGCAAATGTTTTAAAGGAAGGCTAGACAGTACACTGGTTAAGACACTGGACAAACGGGAGGCAAATGAGCATGTGAATGTGGGTGTAAATTATGCAGCTGGGTCTCAATTTTGTCTCACTATTGGAATAAATTATGCAAAGTGTCTCTGCTGTGGACTGGGCTTATACCTATGCTCATGTGAGTATAAATTACAGTGAACTGGCATAAATTATCAGAAGCCACTCATGAATGATGAATGAATGGTGCAGACCACGACTGCGTGTCTGCGAAACACAGAGCTGGGTCACGCAGATGTGGGCACGTAGCTTGCACGGCCACAGATAAATTCTGCAAATTGCACCAGTTACCCCAATCAATTAGCACTGGCAGAAAGCACAAGGCTGGATTATGCAACTGTGGCATGAATGGGGATGTCTTATTGCAAAAGGAGAAATAAACAATGCAAAAGACAGGGAGAGTAGGACACCATGGACACACCTAGCAAACACCTGGCCAGACGGAACTGCAGTGTGGATTACACAAGGACTCTGAGCACACGGGGTGCCCTTGTGAGAATCAAAAGGTGTCCCTTCTGTAAGGGAATATATTGCAAATGGCAGCCTGTCTGGGCAGACGCGCCCTTTCCAGGGCCTGTAGCTCCATCTAGAAGCGGCCTGGGAGCACCCAGGGGACTCAATCCCAACCTGCCCTCTCCAGCCCGAAGCTCTGGCGCAGCGCGTGGCCTGCACAGCTGTACCTGGCGGCCCTCTCGGGTGTGAGCACGCACTTCCGCGGGTACATGGATCCACTCTCCAAGCCCAGGGAGCCACCCCTATGGATTTTGCAGACACACATGCACCAAGGAGGTATCCATGGGTCCTTGCTCACCTGGACCACACCCGGGGAAAAGACGGCAAGGATGAGATAGAGCCAGACGTAGGCAAAGATGCTCCAAGAGGCAGTGACAAAGAAGACTCTCAGGTGCTTGATCTTGCGGCTCTCGCCGGCCGGGATGACGTAGACACACACGGCAATGACCACAAACATGTTGAAGGCAGCACTGCCCACGATGGTGCCCGGGCCCAGCTCTCCCGCCTGGAAGTTGTGGCCGCAGACCTCGATGACAGACAGCAGGATCTCGGGCGCCGACGAGCCCAGGGCCATGAGTGTGAGGTTGGACACGGTCTCGTTCCAGATGCGGACGGTGCCCACGCTGGTCTCACCGTTGGCCTTGGTGATGGTGATCTCCTTCTCCTTGGACGTGATGACCTCGATGGACGCCATGAAGCGGTCAGCGATGATGGACACGCCCAGGAACATGTAGACCATGGCCACAAAGTAGACCACCGCCCGTGCCGCCTTGTCACCCAGTGATGGGTCATCGGGCTCCCAGACGGGCAGCAGGACCCCTGGCTGGCAGCGGTTGGAACCCTGGCAGACCTCCGTGCTGGTATCGCTGTCATTGGTGGGGGGAGGTGGCAGAGAGGGGGTCGGGGTAGCTGCCCCGGAGCATGGGGGAGCCCCCAGGAGGAGAGCAAATCCCACCAAGGCCAGGGGAGCCATGGTGGGCGGTGGCGTCCTGTAGGGGGGAGGAGGAAGTTTGGGTGAGAGGAGCACACCCCTCCCTGACACGCAGGAGGCAAGGCTTGTTGGGGGTGGAGAATGAGGGGGAAGCTGAGGTCTGATACAGGGAAGATGGAGACTGAGGGAGATACAGAGAGACAGAGGCCAAGGGAGAAAGACACAGGAAGATAAAGACAGACGCGCAGCAGATGGGAGTGTAAGTTGGTCTAACTTACTTCAGGAAACAATAGCTGAACATCATGCAACCTACTGCTGAGCAATTCCGCTCCCAGGTATGTACCCAAGAGAAACAGATCATGTGCCCACCAGAAGACACATACAAGAGTGTTCACAGCAGCTTTATTTCTAACAGCTGCCATCTTGAAACAACCCAGATGCCTATCAGCAGTAAAATGGAGAAATAGAACGTGGAGTGGTCACACCGTGGAATATTATACAGCACTGAAAAGGGAGTGGGCTTACTGGTACACCCAGCAGCACAGGTGAATTTCCCAGACGTGCACTGCAGGAATGAAGCCAGGCACAAAACACAGACTGAATCAGTTAGTGGGTGAGGCGAAGGGCTGGAGGTGATTCGTCAGGGCATTTGAATGGTTTCCCTCTTGGCTCTCAGAGTGCTGCTGCTTGGAATCTGGGCTGTGGTGGGTGCTGGGGTGTGTGTCTGTGTCAGGTGGGGTGGGGAGGGGCTGCTGGAGGATCTGTCACACATCCTTCCCTGTAATGGTGGCAGGTGTCTCTCTCCAGTACTCCCAGTCTCTGTGAGGTGCATAATTCCTTAGTGGCTGTGACATAACCTGTTTTGGGGTTTTTGTCCTGTTTGTGGGTATGAGGTCTCTACTGTATCAATACTTCTCTTCCTCAGCCTGGTTCTGGGTTTGAGTGGCTATTTCGGTGTCTTGTCTAGGTTTCCTTTAAAAACGCAAATCCGTTTACATCTTCCCTCTGCTCAGAACCCTTTATGGCTCCCTCCTCACTCATAGTATACCAAAGTCCTCTGCCTGGCTCATATGATCTTGCGCCATCTGGCCCCCCATCCCCTCTCTGGCCTCATCTCTCCTTCTTCCCCTTGCTCACTTGGCCCCAGCCACACTATCTCCTCACTGGTCTTCAGACACACCAGACAAGTTCCAGCCTCAGGGACCCTGCACCTGCCGTTCCTCAGACTCTCTTCCCCATATATCCACTCTCTCTCCTCAAAATGACACCAACCCCCTTGGGGGAGTCCCCAGCCATTTCAAGGATGAGAGGACCAAGGCTCAGAGAGGTTAAATAACTTGCCCGAAGTCCCCCAGGAAGAACTCTGTGGCTCCCAGTTTCTCTCTCCAAGAGTGGCCCCGACTTCCAGACTTCCAGCTCCTCTGCCCCACCCTTGCATTGCCATGGTAACCCAATGGCCTATAAAAAAAGGAACTGAGAAAGGAAGGGAGGGGTCCTCAAAGCCTCCACCAACCCTGACCCCTCTCGGGGCCACCAGCCTCTTTTCTTCCAGCACCTTCCGTTTCTGTCTGAAAAAAGTTCTCCGAGTCTACCCCTCAGCCCGCTCCCAACACACACCCACCTACTCACCCACTCCCTGGCTGGGAGCTGGCTCCTGGAGAGGGAGGCAGAGGGTTGGCAGAGCCTCCCTGAGAAGGAGTGTGCCTGTGTGTGTGTGTGTGTGTGTGTGTGTGTGTGTGTGTGTGTAGGCGGGAGAGAGAGGTGATTCTTAAAGGGCCACCGCACAATTAGCTCCCATCGGCAAGTCCCCTAATGATATGTCTAATTAGCAGCCCCCTAATTAGCAACGACTTAGGCATAATTACAAACCCACCAGGATCCAAAGCAAAGACTCATGCTCTTCCCCCGCCCTCCTTGGCTTTCAGGAGCAACAAGGGCCACCTGGGAGTCACGAATTCATCCACAGCATGGAAGTCCCTCTCTGCGGAAGGGCCAGGGCCTGCGATTCTCCCCCAAGTCGAACCACCTGTCCCCTCCCCCGTAGTCCTCAGGGGAGGTCAGGTCGGCGGCTGGGTGTTGTGCCTGCCCTCCTTGCCCAGGGGCTGGACAGAGCAGCCCGGTTCAACCCCTTTCCCTCAAAAACCTGGCTTCCTCTCACGGAGGCCTCCCAGGAGGAGAAAAGCACAAGATAAATATTTGTGAAATGAACAGCCACGAGGTCTGAGGTCTGAGCTCTGCCTGGGGACAGCTGGGCTCCCCCTCCTCGGGCTGCCTCTGCCTCCTCTGCCTCTCGCTCTCCATCAGCAGAACTGAAACCTAATCTGGGTTGAGAATCCAGGGGCGAAAGGATCAGGTTGAGGCCAGGGTGGGAGCCGGGAGGGCAGATGGCCCGCACCATCTCCGGGGCCATCTCTCCTCACTCTCGTGGGCCGGTGGCCAGCTGGGTCAGTGGTGAGCACCCCACTTCTGCCTCACACGCCCCTGGGGACCTCAGAGGCCTCATCCAGAGAGTGAGACGGCAAGCTTAAGGGGGGTCCAGTCTGGCATGACCCCCTCCCTCATGTCTCTCACACTGGTGAGGCGGTGGTGGTTCCTAACTGTGTTTTTGGCGGCAGCAGGGGCTTCCCATCGCCCCCCCACAAATATGGAAGGTGGGAAGAAATGTGCAAGGTGGGGACCCAGGCTTCTAAACATGCACACTTACTGCTCCAGGGTGAGCCATGCGATGTCCCAGCCTGGGGATCACACATGCATGTGCACACACACACACAGGGTGAGCCATGGGATGTCTCAGCCCGGGGATCACACACGCATGCACACACACAGCGCTCAGGGCTTAGAGACTGTGACGGGTAAGCTGAAGTCCAAGTCACACAGCTTCAAGCCAGGGGCAGAGCAGAGATGGAAACTCAACTCGTGGCACTCCTGACCTGGTGCTCTGTTTAACCCATCTGGAGCGGCATGTGGCACCTGGGGACTCAGGCTCACACCTCCCCCCTTGTCACTCACTCTTGCCCACTTTCTCTGGGGCCCCCTTCCCTCCAGGATGGAAGAAGATGTAATCGCCAAGAACCTCTAGACTAAGAAGGGCCCCTTGGAGCCCTCACGGTGGTGTAGGGGCTGGTGAGATCCACCCCCGCAGAGAGGCAGGTCTGAGGCGGGCACCCCAGGAGGAGATGGAGGTGAGGCTGCAGGAGGGATTGGCTGGCCTGGCCCAGGCCCTAGTGCTGTGCCTGGAGCAGGAAAGGCGCTCAGAAATTGTCCAAAGGCTGAATGAGTCATGAATGGACAGACAGCAAGAGGGATGGAAGTTAGACTGCAGGCAGGACGGGTCCATTCCATGTGAAGAGGAGTGGGGGGGGGGTCAGGCTGAAGGGCTGGTTCAGTCTGCACTCCAAAGTGTAGGGGTTAGACCCCAAGGGCCGGCCTCAGAAAGCCAGAAACAGGGAGGCGGGACAGGGGCTCCTCTTCAGGGGAGGAGTGCGGTGGGTGCGGGCTGGAAGGATGGGCGGAAGGAGTTTGGGGGACTCCTCGCCTTCTGGGGGAGCCCACTCCGCAGGGCGCCTCTTCTTCCTCCAGGTCTCCCCCTGCCAGGGGCGGAGACAAAGGTGTGTAGGAGAGAGGCCGGCGACGGGGAGAGGAGAGAGGCAGGCAGAGACCAGGCACCCAGAGACAGGCGGGGGGACAGGGGCCGGGGCAGGCGAGACAGCGAGGCTCGCGCTGCGACCCGGGGAGACCACAGGCAGCGGGGAAGCCGCGCGGTGAGACGCGCAGGGCGAGGCGGGCAGGGAACCGGGGCCGACCCGACG